TGCGCGGCTGGGAGCGCGAAACATGGCCGGGCTGACTGATGGCTGCATCGCCGGCTGCTGTGAGGAAGAGGACGACGGCGTGTCCAGGGTGGCCGTGGAGGTGTTCGCGAAGCTGAAGGTGCTGCGGCCCGAGGGAGCCCCCCGGGGTGGCGGGGCCGGGCGGCCAGGGCCTCTAGCGGAAGTCGGCGGGCGCCACACGCGCCACGCCTCTCCCTGGTCTTGGCTGTACCCCGTGTCTCGCTACAGGGGGGCGGCTTGTGAGGCATCTTTCTCTACCACTTGGGTGGCCCCGAGCCTTCGCTCTCGCTGTCCCCACGGCCCGTCCCTGGTAGTTCGGGCCGGCGCAGCGCGTAGGCTGCGCCTTAACTTCTGTCGCCCGGAACCGCGAGTCCTGACTGGGCCAGCGAAGCGAGTGCAGAGCCGCGTAGGGCACAGGCCCGGGCCTCAAAGAACTCGCGGGGTCCAGGGGAGACAGGCGGGCAGAGTCCGTGACCCCTCGTGGCTAGTGAGGAAGCCCTCCCCGAGAGATCGGGTAGCTGTCCGAGGTCCCTGTCGCCCGCTCCCTGCCGCTCCCTTCTGGAAGACATCTGTCAGTCCCTCGCTCCCTGTGCGGGTCCAGAGGGGACGTACTTAGAGGAGGTGGGGTGACAGGCGCCCGGGGACGGGAGACGAGAATGAGGGAAACTGACGCCTGGGCAAGATGGACGGAGGGAGCACACGGGAGGGAGGGGGGCGGCCTCGCCCGTGCCCTCTGAAGCCCGCCGCGTGCCCGGCGGCACACGCGTGTGTGGAGGAGCTCCGGGGGCGTGCGTGCGCCAGTGCACCGCAGCCTTTTAGTGATTCCGGCTTTTTAAAGCTTCCTGGCTTTTCCTTTTCTTGCTTAGGACCTCAAGTGCCCCTTCCTCCAGGGTCTTTATATCACAGAACCAAAGACCATTCTGGAACTGCTGTGTAGCCCCTCGAAGTACCGCTTGGAAATCCTGGAGTGGATGTGTATCGGGTAACTGCATTGTTTCTTCCTTCTCCACCTGGGGCACACCTGGTGGGTGCCACTCAACGTAGCTGGGTGACATGGGTTTTGTTACGTTTATAAGTAGCTGGCCTCCCAGACGGCTCCATACCATACCCCAGGTCACTGTGAGAGCAGCTGCCGAGGTAGAAGTGCCAGTTATAGAGCCATGGTCAAATTCAGGGTGACAGTGCCTCCTAGCAGTGCTTGGGGGAGTCTGTTCACCTCCTGGCTGAAGCGCTGAGCTTGGCTTCTGACCGTTTTTCTTGCTTTAACTACTGGTTTCAGAGCTGGCAGGGGTCATTTTCAAACTGGGAAGCTCAGGGTCAGGCTGGAGTTGTAAATGTCTTGAGCATTACCACTGAGGAGTGACCAGCAGGGCCAAGACCCCTGGCTTTCCAGTCCTTCAAGTCAAGGTGTGGCCTGGTGTGCATGCCTGGCACTGCAGGCATGTACACAGCAAAGCCTGCCAAGATGGGAAGGGGAAAGATCCAGAAAGTCCCACGAAATGTCTGTTCTTTGGGAGCAGCAGCCCCTGAGCTGAGCTCGGGTGGGGAAGACAGGTTCCTGTGCTATTGGGTGTGAGCCCCAGGAGTGGCTGTGCTTGGTCACTGTGGGATTCTCTCAGGAGGCCGGGCCTGAGCCTGCCCCACTTCAGCCTGGCCTGTCTGCTCTCGCAGTTCAGAAAGATGCCTGGGCAGGAGCCTGGCTGTGGAGTAGCGAGGGTCCAGCCTGGACCTAGCTGGTATGCCCGCCAGGTCACAGGATGTCAACAGACCTGGCCCTGGGCCTGGTGTCCTAGTGACGGCTGGGAGGAAGAAGGAGGCATTTTCATATTTGAACGTCTTCTGCTGCCTTCCAGGCCCTTCTCCAGGTCTCACCCCCGGCCTCTGCTCACCAGCGCTCTCGTAACCTTGTGCTCCCACTGACCTTGTCCTCCCTCCTGGAAGTGCCCTTCAGATCTCTGCATGTCACACATATGCCGATAGAGCCTTCGAAGAGCTCACACGTCCCATCTCCTTTTAAAAAGTCCAGTTCCTAAGGCAAAACGTATTCCTCCTTCCCCTGGACACCCACAACTTTTTTTTCTGATTAATTTATTTATGGCGAAACTTTTTTTTTAACGTAGGTGAATATATTATTTTTAATTTAAAATTTTCAATTACAGTTGACATTCACTATTATTTATATTAGTTTCAGGTGTTCAGCATTGTGCTTAGACATTTATATAATTTACAAAGTGACACCCACAAAACCTTTGAGCACAACTCCTGCCAGAGCCCTCAGCCCGTTAGTTCTGTGTTGGCCTGCTGTTCTATCTGGCTCTCCAAAGCACTGGAGCTATTGGAGGGCAGGTTCCAGGTGGGACTTCCCCATCAGCCTCAGGCTACAGTGTGGTGCGTACTGACAAGCAAGTGCACAGACGCACGCACACCTGTGCCATTCCAGGTGCCTCAGACATGGATGGGTGTCCTTAAGGAGCTTGGGCTTTAGTGGCCACAAAGGGCCCAGACATGAATCGCGGTGGTGGACACACCTCTGCAGTCTGCGTGCTGTGGACATTGGCAGGGAGGAGGTGGCATTAGGTCTGGGGGAGGATGGCTAATGGTAGGTGCTTGTTTTGTTAGGAGCAGATCGTTGAGGTGTCGGAGGGAGAGCTGGGCAGCAGTGGCCTGAATGGCATCCCAGGGTAGCCCCAGAAAAAGGTGCCAGGACCCGGCTTGGAATGGCAGATGGACAGCCACTGCTAGCCTTGGGGGGACCAGTCCTGGTTCAGGAACCGAGGAGGAGGGAGAGTACTAGGGATGGCCTGGGCTAGTGCAGGGGCCTTGAGTGCACTCCCAGGAGGAGGGAGGCCAAAGCCACATCTTGGAGAGGCTCATGTGAGAGAGAACCCAGCCCTACATGGCCCAGGTAGAAGCTGGGGACTGGGCCACTCTGCTGGCTAGAGATGGATGGCAGTGGGGTGGGGTGGGAGGAGTCTACAGTTGCATTCCTGAAATGCTTTTGATACTTTATTAAATACGAGAAACCGAATCCTTTTTATGACCCCAAGCTGACAAAAGTGCTGTAGGCCTTTCAAGAGTCCACAAGGAGGATTGGACAGAGTTCCGTTCCCCTCTAAGTTCATGTCGTCTTTCTTTGCACATGGCTTCACCATTTCAGCCTTTGTTTAGGGACACCTTGTTCACCCCTCTCTGGGCAGAGCCTGGAAGCTGCACCCAGTATTGATTGGGGGACTCGGTGTGGTGGCTCTTGGTCGCCCATGTGCCGCACTGGCCCTCAGTGCAGGGGCTGGGGCAGAGCCACAGGGCCCCCTGGATGGCTGAGTTCGAGGCACGTGGGTTTCCTTGTCCCTGGAAGAGCTGTACTTGCTTTCAAGGCCATGGGCGCAGTTAGTTTCTGCCCCGCTTCCTGCTACTCCAGGAAAATCAACTTTAGTGAAAGCCCTCTCTGAGCGAGGTTACTCAGGCTTCTATGGATTTGTTCTTCAGTGTGTCTAAATGCTTTGCTGTGGTCCAGCTGATGGATTGCTGAGTGCTCTCCAATGCTCGGCGCCTTGTGGGTGGGAACATTGCTCGGCAGGCAGGCCCAGGGGCCAGCCCCTAGCATTTCACACAGAAGGGCTCCATCTCTCCCCTGCTGTCTTTGAATGGTGAGGAGGGGTTGCCTTAATAAGCCATGAAGATAGGCACACAGCTGAGGCCGCTGGGTCCAGCCCCTTCTTTGCTGTAGTCCTGCAGCTTGGGGCATGGGGCCTTGGTCCGGGGTGGCCCCGCTAGCTCCCAGGGCCCCAGCATGGTCGGGGCAGGTGTGGCCTGGCACCTAGGTATTTGGAGGCATGACCCCAGGGAAGGAACAGTGAACTCTCTCCATGGAACAGCTACTGTGCCTTCTTACCACGCTGAGTCGCAGCTGGGATTGCTATCTCCTCCCCCAGGAGGCTGGGGCTGTGACCCCAGAGCCCATAACACTGGGAGCCCCTAAATGGCTTCAGGCTGTGAACTGCAGTAGCATAATCCGTCTCTGATTTATGCTTTTTTCAAAACAGAAAACGTCCCTCTGCTGAAAGTACTTGGTGTAGACATTTACTAATGGCAGATTATTCCATGGCAAGAGGGCACGCTCATTTATTTGTTAAAGCTTACTGGCTGCCTTTTCTGTGCTGGTTGCCACATTAGGCCCCAGAAATATGGGGCAAAAAGCCAGCTCCTGGCCTTGGCGAGCCCGCAGTCTGGGAGACAAGGGCCCTGTGGAAGGACAGTGCCCAGGCCCTGCCGTGATGGAGGGATGCCAAGGTGGCTTCCTGGAGGTGGTGACGTCAGCCGTGGGCTTCTCAGATGTGTGTTATCTATTCACTGTGCTCGGACAGGGAGGCAGGGAAGAGCAGACACACACTACTCGGAAAGGTGCGGGAGGGGACCCAGGCGACCAGCAAGGACAACAGAGCAGGAAAGGCTGTCCTCGGACATCTTCCAAACAAACCTGTGCTGTGATTTAAGGAAAAGCTGACTCTTTGCTTCCTTCTGATAAAGAGCTAGAGCTCTGACGAATTCTGTTTTGTCTTCTTGGGCGGTCATTTCGTATTTTTACTGTGAGGATTTTAATTGCAGATTTCAAATGTATATTTCCGAGGTAAACGTTCAGAAATGTTTTGGATTCCCCCCCACCCCCCCGATAATTTAGGGACTTCAAATTCACATCACATAAAATTACCCAGTTTAAAGTGAACATTTCATTGGCATTAGCACACGCAATCAGTAATTCACTTTTTGGGGGGCATGTAAGGGGCCACGAGGGGGCCTCTGCAGCTGGCTCAGCCTTGACTGGGTTTGATCTTTACCTGCAGGGCCCGTCCCT